GGAAAATATGTGGAAGTCGCGTGCGTTGCATGCGACTTCAATAAGAGGAAGTCGCGTACATCGCCTGCGACTTCCAAACGGAAGTCGCGTCCCACGTCAACGACAACCCACCCGCCACATAGACAATACACGTTGCAAGGAAGTAGCGTCCATTGTATGCGAGTTTTGACCCCTCCTTTGACCTAACCTATTTTTATCAATAGTTTCAAAAACCTAAGGTACTTTTGTATTTATTTATTTATTTTACATTTATTTAGTTATCATTTTTAAATTAACATTATTTTTGTAATTTCTTTTTAAAATGTCATTATTTTAAACCTTAACCCCTAATTCCTTCCATATAGAATATTTTCGTTTTCTAAACATAATTAAGCAGTTTCATTAAAATTTATTCAATAAATCACACTAAATTTTAAAATTCTAGATTGCATATAACTCATGAGTATGAATCAATTTTCTCTCGCCTAACTCAACAATATTTTGATTGGCCAAATACTACAATTTATTTTAAAACAATAATTAACTAAATTATATTGCATTTTTGTCCATATATTTTAATTTAGTTTCAATAGGGTCTCAATGCCTTTAATAGTTTCATTATTGTCTCTCCTTTAATCAAATTCTACAAAAATTTCTTACCATAGTTAAAAGTAGAAGGATTTTAAAAACTAAATAACCCGAAAAATGTGATCGATCCAACCCATCTTGTACGGTTTGGTTTTGGTCATAAACTTGTTTGAGTTGAGTTAGATTCAATTAAACAATAGATTAGGTTGGTTCAAGGGTTCATCGATCTAAAAATAATTTTGCTTTCAACCAAACAAAACGTTGTTTTGTTCAATAACTCTGGATAGATTATTTGTTCTCTAACAACTTTTTAAGTTTATAGAGGGTAAGTTTTTCACCGTATAAATAAGAACTAGCCGTCTTAATTCTATGTTAGAAAATATTGGCATTTACTTTTTTTGTTATACAATATTTTAAAAGAGTAACTCGAAATAACCATATCAACTCAACTCACGATTGGGTTGAGTTTGATTCATTATTTAATAAGAGTTGTTTTTGTTGAATAAATTTACGATCCGAACAATTATATTGGTTCTAGATCAAAATACTTCAACCTAACTCATAAATACCCTTAATTTAAACACCGACACAAAATTAATAATTTAGGTTCATGTAAAATAATTTTTAAGGTTCAAACTTGAAGAAAAGGAAAAAAAAACTTGAAATTCAACCAACAAACTACAAGTACCAATAGTAACCTACTCTTTAGGTAGGGGCAACAGAAAGAAACATGGATAAAACAGTAATATCATTAATATTATGTACCAAACAAAAAGAATAATAATGAATACTTCCAACCTTTTTTTCTGACTCAAAATTAAATTTCTTGTTTTGAACAACACCATAAATAATATCAAAAAGCAATGGTTTTTGTTAAAGAAAAAAAAAACCCAAATATATATTAAAAAATATGCTAAAAAATGTGGGTGGAATTTAAAATGATAATTTTTTAAGTTACATAAAATAGGTTAAGTTTTCGATTTTAGAGATGAACATATTTATTTCATTAAATCATAACATGTAATATATTATCATATCATTGTTAAAGATCTAATTAAAAATAAATCAATAAATGAAACTGAAAACTTCAAATTTTCAAAATTATCTAATTAGAAATTAAATTACAACGCCACAATGTTGTGTGTACTTGAACTTTAAAAAATACTTAATAAATTTTTAAAATTTATTTACATATTTGTAAAATTGAAAGGTTAGAGTATTATTAGATACGAAACTCAATTTTGTGTCTAATAATTTCATAAAATAATAGAAAAATGTTGTGATCTACGAATAAAATTAAAAATTTAGAAGTTAGAACATTAAGTTCATGAATTAAATTTGCAATTTAAACTAATAATAATAATAAACCTGATGAAATTAATTTTATTGTTATATATAATTTAGCAGGAAAATTACCTATATTTGATTTCTCTGCAACAGTTTTATGATTTTTCAGAAGGAGAGAGGGAGAGAGAGAGAAAAAAAAAACCCTAAGAATGATCGAGAGTACCGCGGCGATCGACTCCGGCGGCGGCTCGAGGTTGCTGGAACTGGTGGCCGAGGTTGGCGATGCTGGGGGTGACGTTGACGGCCAATAATCCGGCGTCGTAGTTGCTGCCGCCGTCGAAGCCACTTCGGATCATCATCTGTTGTTGTTGATCTCGTGGGAAAATTTGATCGTGATAGAGGCTATGTGGTTGATCCCTAACAAAATTGAAGGCCGGCTGGTTGCTGCGCGGGCCGTGAGCGGTGGCGACGGCGGCGGAAGGCGGAGATATGAGGGCGGCGTGGTTCCCGATGCCTAGGTTTTGGTATTTGGAGAGTTCCGATTTAGCGCAGGTGAGGTCCATTTGGAGTTTACAGAGCTGGTGCTGGAGGAGGGAGATTACGCCGACGCAGCCGTAGACGGGATCACGGAGGCGCATATCGGCTTCGTAGGCGAGGGAATTGACGGCGTCTTCTCTCTGGTGAGGATGCAATTCGTTGAGGAGTTTCGTCACATTGCTGGCGCCGAACACCTTGTGAACATTCGCGAATTTCTGCGGCTGGTCCGGCGGAAAGTACGGTGCGAAAACGCATTCCGGTTGACATTTTCGCCGGAGAAATTTGCAGGCTGCGCACGGCGAATTCGACGAGCTCGATGCCATCTTCAACTTCCTCCTCTGTAAGAACACTCTATTAGACTTCTCCAACATAATCAATCAAGCATGTATATAGACAGACTCTAAGTCACTCAGAAAAGGGGGAAAACAGTGTGAATTAGAAAATTGTTATGAACTTGACTGTTCTTTTTGTTTAAAATCCAATGAATTCCTTTCACTCTGCCTCTAGAAAGATTTTGGAGAGAAGAACGGCATAAATAGGGGAAGGAGAGTGGTGGATATGGAAAGCATTTGAGATTTCAAACCAAATTTTACTGAATTGGAATTGGGTCTAAACTCTAAAGGGAAGGATCTGATTCATATTTTTTGCTTTAAATATAGAAAATTTTCTGGGAGATCTTTTTCCTTCTATACACAGAGAATCTCTAGAGAACAAAATTTTCACTCATAGTTTCCCATTTGAAAATCAAGGATTCAGTTTGAACCCAAAGTTGGGTATGTGAAAACAAAGAAGGAAGATAGAACTGTACCTTAGAATAGTCTTAGGAGAAAGAGAGAGAGAGAGAGGAATGCAGAAACCAAAGAGGGAAAGAGGGAAAATCTTACCCTTTTACAAGTGGGTTTGTGAAGTTGGATCTCGTGAAGAAAAGAGAAGCAAAAACGAAGAAGGGGTTAGAGAGAGAGAAGAGAGAGAAGAGAGAGAGTGTTTTACTTCACAGTGATCGATGAATAGTATAATAACATGGAAGAGAGGGGAAGAAGATCTGGTTGAAAATATTAAGTACAGTCCATTTTCCAGTAAATGTATGAAGAGGGTTTTAAGAGAGAGAGTGAGAGAGAGAGAGAGAGAGAGGTTGAAGCCAAGGGAGGGTTGGAGGGGAAAGTCTTGGGGATAAATAAAGATTTTTCCTAAAAAGGAGAGAAGGCAAAAAGAGAATAAGAATGACTAAAGACTTGTCTCCATCATTCTTTGACTTCAAGTTGGGGAGAGATCTCTCAATCTTTTCTCCCTTTTTCTTCTTCTTCGTCAATGTCTCGGGATTTCCAAACACCGCAAAAAAAGTCCCAAAATATGTGTAATTACATTACATCCATGCATGCATGAAATCAACAATACTTTTCTAATATTTTTAGAAAGTTTGAAAGCTAAATATATATTAGAAATATATATGTGCCACTTTTTAAAGGGGAGTGAAAATTAGGGTGTTTGACTTTTCAGCCCCAAATTAAAGTTGTTCGTCACGAGAAACTAGTTCTATTAAGGATGAAGAGCGAACCATCGCTTGGGATGAGTGTACTAAATATAGGGTGTAGAAATTTGAACTCGGACTTATAGATATTTGTATGTATTTTAATCAAGTAAAGAACTCGTTTCTTTAGAGAGGTACATTGTTAGCTTGTTTCATCTTTTAGAGAGATAAGTTCTAGACATAAAAGTATCATTTTTTTTAATTAGTTTTCATTTCTACTATTATGACAAATTGTTAAATTCCTACTAAATACCAAGGAAGTTATGAGACGACATCCAAATGAGGACTAGTTTTTGGGGTCTGTTTCATCCTAATGAGATCAGGACCCTTCATCCCATCCTATCCCAACCATTGTAGCAAATGTGTCACTTAGTTTTTAAAAATATATTCTGAACATGGACTAGTCCCTCATAATTCACTCCATGAAGCTTTGGAAATGGGAGCTTTCCAATGATCCAAACTCTCTTTTTTTCTTTTCTCTAGAATATTAATTAGTTTTACATATGATCTAAAAGCATTATTGATTGAAGTCCAAGTAATTAAGCAATTGGTCAAATCTCTCTCTCTCTCTCCCTAGTTCTCTCTCTGTCTAGAGTTGGTAAAGTCATGCTTTTAAGGCAATTAATAGTTAAAGGTGAAGAAAAATGGTATTATGTGGTGATCTTATTTTCACTGTTTCTTCGCCGGGAAAACATTTCGCTTACAACATCAACATGTCCCCATATAAAGATGGTGACCACCTATCACCTTTATTCACCACTTCAATGCACTTATATTACCACTTCTTCTTTTTTTTTTTTCCTTTTTCCTAAATATTTCTCTCTCTCTCTCCTACACATGCTTAAATTTATTTACTATATTTATTGTCACCTCTTCTTTACCAATATCATGTTATAGGTTTTAATTTTTTCTTTTTCTAATATTTAGATACTTACTAGTTAGATAAGAGGAACTTCTCTATCGGTTACCCTTAAAGAAAGGGAGAATATATAATACATATATTTTTCWTTTTAAGTTTTGGTATTGATTTCATTTTTGTTTCTTTCAAGACTATTCCTATGTTAGTCCATGAACTTGGTATTGAAAAAAATAAATATAAACTTCATTTTAGCATTCGCTTMCTTGATCAAATTAAAGCACTCTTTTGTGCGTTTATCTGAGTAGGTTAGGTATGTAAATTACATGTGTAGTAGGTTAGGTATTGGGATTTCAAAATGGATTTGGAATTCTGTTAAATGATTAAATGAAAAATTATGCATACATACTATAAGTTTTAAACATGGAGCATAAGAGATATATTWGCCGSTAAGTTACATTCATGTTTGGCTTCATAAATTAAAGGTAGTTTACATATTTATTTTAAAAACTGTAATGGTCAAGCCTCGATCTAGTCCTATAAAGATAAAACAAAAATAAAAAATAAAAACAAAAACATGTTTGTTTCACCAAGCCTCTTCCCGAGACAGTGTTCAAATCGTTATGCTWTTCGTGTGGTTCGGAACTTACTGGACAAGAAATTTTGCTATCCTAAGACCATTATAGCCATAAATTTTAATACAATGTTAACGTAGTAGACAATGAATACTCCCGTGATACCAAAAATTAGATCGGGAGATAGAAAAGAATGGTATGTTTGGATGCATTAATATTAGAGAGTTTGTCAGAGGAGAGAGAGTGGCCGGGAATTGAAGTGTATGTAATGTCGTGTTGTGAAAAGACCCATCCTCCTATTCTCTCTGCACTGCACACTCTCTGCCCCCTCACCTATCCTTCCATTTTCTTCCTTTTTTTACTTTTTTAACTTCTAATTTACACATCACACCTACCCTTCTTAAACCCTCTAAAACCCAAAGGGGTTCTTTTCGTAATTTCTCCCTTCAATCCGTCGATTTTGGTGAACATGTTGATATCTCAATTTCTCCTRCCCTCTAAAATTCCAAGGGGTTCTTTTTGTAATTTCTCCCTTCGACCAAGTCGGTATTGACGAAAATGYTGATGTCTCAATTTCTCCTACTCTCTAAAACCTAAAGAGGTTTTTTTGTAATCTCAACTTCCTTTGACTGGTCGATGCTGATTAACATGTTGATGTCTCAATTTTGTCTAAATGTATAGATGGAATATTGCCTGGAAATATCATAAATTTACAAGAAAAAAAGAAAAGTATTTTGCTTTTAATATTTCTAAAGGAGTTAAAGAGATTTTATATTTTATTTATATTGTTGARATATGAAGAAAATATTGGTTATATCGATGTCAAGTGTTTTGATTTATATACATATCAACATGTTGATAGACAAACCTATAAGATGTGGTGCAAAGGAAAATATAAGTTTAAGAGAGGAATTTAAAACTATTTTTATGGAGTAACTTAGAGTATACTCGTGGATCAATTAATTTAATGCTTCGTTTGATTTCAAAGAAAATAATAAAGTGGCTTAGTCTTCAAAACTAAACAATTTCAATATTTGAAAGATAATGTTAATATATGTAGTTGAATTATAAAAAAATATAACTTTTTTTATTATGGTGGTTAATAATGTATTTATTATTGTAGATAAAAAGATACATTTCGGCTTGCAAAAATGGACCTAATAGCTTTAAGAGAATCACTCACTAGTGTGAGAAAGGRTGCATTTCCTTTTTAAATTAATGTTGAAGTGATTTGAGAGATAATTTTTTATCAATTTATTAATGGACTCGAGAAAATAATAATGATTTGGACATTGATATATAGGGTATGTTTGGGAGTGATTTTGAAAAATAAAAATAATTACATTTCATATTTTGTATAACTGATTTAATTACGATTGATTAAGAGCATATTTGGAAATGATTTTAGAATSAGTAATTTTGGAAGAAGATATTTATTGTGTTTTGGAGTGACGGTAGAATTACTGATTTTGAAAAAATGATTTAAGTATAATTGATTTTTCAAAATCACAATCYAAGTGATGTCTTCGAAATCAATTTAAAGTAATTTCATACTTTACTAAAATCAATTTTTTAATTTGACAATCATRACAAGGAAGTGATCTTCGCAATGATTTTGGTCATGTCCAAACCATTTCCAAATACACCAAAATCAAATCAAAAGTGAATTTTAAACTTTCCTAAAATCAATTTTTAAATTTGTCAGACATGATCAATAAAAATGAAAGTGATTTTGGCAATTTTGGCCATGCCAAAATTACTCCAACGAGTRATGACAAAAGGAGTGATTTTGAAAAAAATAAATAAATAAAATAAGAATAATTGGTTTCCGAAATCACCAAGTGATACCTTAAAAATCAATTTTAATTGATTTTATATTTTCCTAAAATCAATTTATCAATGGAAATGGAAGTGRTTTTGAAACACTAAAATCACTACCAAATACACTGTTAAGTTGATATTGATATTGTAAATGTRATTCTCAAAATAATTATTTTATCGTTCAGTTACACATTTTTACAAGTAATTTTCATATAATTAAAATTGACTTTGAAGGATTAATGTTTAGTTTTAAAAGTGATTTTAGGATCACTAAGCTACTAAAAATAGCATTATATTTGAAAAACTATTTAACACTATTTATTAACCATTGTGATTAAATAACATAAATAAACAATTCACAACGCAACGGAAGACTTTTTTTWATAAACAATTTTAAAACACGTCCATAAAAATTTTAACTTATACGAATTATGAATGAAGAGAAAAATAATAAAGAATTATACAAACTATATGAACTAATAAAAAATTAATAATTGCTTTTAAATCGTAACGGGTAAAAATTTCTCGCAAAGAATTACCGATCATAATGAATAAATTTTATTTTTTTACTAAAAAGTAAAAAGTATATTTTTATTTTGTTTTCACATGGTTCTCTTCCCAAAGTTTTTATATTTCTCCTCTCACATTTATTTGGGTGGGGCCCAACTGAAGAAACATATGGATTTTATTTAAAAGGCCTTTTTTTTTTTTTGAGTAATTTAAAAGGCCATTAAACATATGAACAATTCTAATATTATTTTAATTGGTATTAGTTTTAATTTGGAAATTTGTTTCTTTAATTTGCAAGCTCACATCAGTATTATTTTAATCCTATGTGATTGCAGATCAATCACCCCAATAAAATTACCTCCAAGTAATACTTTYAAAATTACTTTTAAGTGATTTCTAAATTTTTCAAAATAAATTCTATTCATTTGCCAAAGTTCTAAAAGAAAGTCAAACATATCCTTAATGACGAATTCGCTTTTATGAAATCATTTTAATATTTGGTTATACACTTTTTCAAGAGATTTTCATAGGATGAGAAGTGATTTTGAATGATTGATATTTACCAAAATCTTAGAGAAAGGTTACAAAAATTAGAGAACAAATAAAATTAAAGGTAAAGCGATGAGATATCTCCTACGAGGCTACGAGCCAAGACGAAGAGTTCTCTATCGTTATCAGACCAACATTTTCTCCCAGTTTTGGGCAAATTTAGACCTTGGTAAATTAATTTTAAACTACACCTTTAATTTTATTTATCATCGTTCTCCTGACTTATTAATTCTGAAGAATTCTCTATCCCTTATGACTTCTTTTCAGTGGACAGACAAAACAATTAACAGTTGGCTAAACATATATTTTCTTGAGGGGAAAAAAGAAAGAGAAAGAGTACAGATTGTTTACCTATACAACTGGCATGAATCCAAACAAATAATACCGAACACCGAAGGAGAATCCACAGTCCAAAAACGCCCTTCGCCTTCCAATCTAAGCGTAAAAGCTTCGCCTTGCGAACTGCCAGAATAAAATTTGCAAGTACATACAGTTTTTCAAGTATTCCCCAACCCTATGGACATTATTCTCTGATCCCACATATAATCGATCTTTGGCACTATTGTTCGTAAATTGATCAAGCTTATCCACAGCACATATGGTACACTTATTTTGTAAGAGAACGCTGAAAAATATAACTTGAAAGATCTTGCTGGAGACTTGGTACCTGTAATTTGCCTCTGGCTAGAAATAGTTTGTAGTGTAGTTCTGCTCGACTCCGTCGGTGGCCTCTCACACTTTGGTTTCTTAACACCGAAAAAACTGATCCATATGTTCTAGAGCTCCAATCCCCATCAAGATTATGGAGTTAAACCTTCAAAACTTGAATTGCTATGTATCTTCTATGATGGCCATGAATGTTCAGTACGTTTCAGTGGTTGTTATAACCCGATATCAATCAAAATTATGTATCTAAAAGAACATCAAGAATCTGATCTGGAAGCAGTGAAGGAAGAAAGAAGGCCTGCAGCTTGTGCGGGTAGAATATCACCAAACGTAGACATGGCAGCCGCCGATCTATCTTTAAATATGCCAACTTGCCCATCGGTCAACATGGACCCAAGTTTTAGTGTGCTCTCTCCAAATCTGCTTCCAACCTGGAAGTTGAATAGGTACGGTTAGAAACTTTGGCATCCCAGATATTATTCTGATTTTATTATATGTGAAAGAATACAATAGGACGAGTAAAGTTATACAGAATAATACACCCATGAATTATATTGTTAACAAGAAGAAGGAAAAAAAAAAAAGAAATAAGAAAAGAGGTGAATATCTATGAAGTCACCAGTAATGGAAGGTCCATGTCAAGAATACAAACAAATGCCAACTATAACAAATGTCTGCAAACTCATCCACAAAAAATAAGAATCCCATAATCCACGCCCTTTGACATCTCTACATCTATAACAGCCACAACCAGAATGGCAGGCCTAACACCTTGAAACCTTAAATACCTTGGAAGTAGAAGTCGTGATGATTAAGAGTCTAAAGGATTTATCTCACAAAATGAACAATATATTTTGAACTTTTCTACAATTCACAGTTCATCACTGCCTAGGGAAAAAGGACAGAAAAATAACCTCGAAGCTTTGAATACCTTGGAAGTGGAAGTCGTAAAGATCAGGGATCTAAATTCTTTATCTGAAATATATGAACAATATATCTAAGTTTTCTAAGTTTCGGAGTTCATCCCTATCACCACCATTACTATATAATAGGGCTCCAAGCAATAAGTTTACTCGGTTGTTTGGGAGAACTTAAGCTTCACTAAATTGTTGGTGTAATAATTGGAACAAGTGGTTAAGTTGAAATACATTTAACAGACTACGGGAAGGTGATCAGCCATATTACCTGCATGAAAGATTTAAATAACGGTGCTGCTACCCCGAAACTGGAGTTATCGTTCAAATCTATTTTTTGAGGAAGCTCCCCGTTTGTGAAAGCTTTCCAGGAGTTTCTTGAGGAGATGTCATCTGAAGGTGTTGGAATAGTTGCCTTCATTCCTCCTTTTGAAGACAAAACTGGAGCACTGTATGAACAAGAAGCACATTACACAAATTGATTGTAAATGATAACTAGAAAAGCAGCAGTCAATTTGTAACAGAGTTTGAAAAGGCCGAGCAATGACAAACTTCAGCAGGTTACATCAATCAGTCAATCAGCTTTCATTTATCGTCATGTAAATCAGGCATTTATACAACTAGGAAAGGACATTGAGATATGTAGAGCATCTACCGAACACATATTCAATAATAGAGGTGGCTCCTGAGGACACATACCTGATACATTTAATAATATAGTGAGGACATGAAAAAGGTTGCTAACTCACTTCAGTTCAAGTTGAATGGACATTTTACATATCCAGTTTAAAGAAGGAAGCCAAACAAAAATTTTACGAACATATTTATTATCACAGACAAATTCAGAAATAATAACCATGCTCCAACACATTTCTCAATGATTCTTCAGCTGAGGGCAAATAAGAATTACCTAATTGGAAGGTATTTAAAACGAGGAATTGTAAGGCATCTCATGATATTGGATTCTGAATTGCTTGGCAATTTCTGAACAGTGTCTGTGTACATCCTATTAAGCTGCACAAAGAATCCAAAAAGGACAGCATGTCGAAGGTATGTCTGCCTTTCATTTTCCCAGAGATATGGCTCATACCTGAAATGAATTGCAGGAACAGTGATTTATCTTATCTTAAGTAGTTGCTAGAGGCATGAATAGTATAAGCATCCATGAACAGTAAAGAAAAACCTCATAGAGAAATAGGATGAAGAATTATGAAAGTAGATCTACAACCTTAACTTCCGACCCCACACCCCCGCCCCCCAACTATATGCAGACAATAAACAGATATCTACAAAGACATATATTCCCATCCATACATAAGAATGAATTTGTACTTTCCACACACTTCTTATTCTCATCATTCTTTTTCAGTTTCTGCTTAAATGGATGCAGAGATTCCGTGAGGAAAAGCTCCTATGGCACATGGTATTCAGAAACTTTAATGGTCTTCTAATATTTGTACAAACCACTTAAGTAGTAGTGGGGCATTCTTTGTAGGGAGGCATATGGGGATTTGGGTCACATCCCTTGGAGATGCAACACATTTGGTATGCTTGGCTCGTAACGGCACTTTGTGTTTTATGATGGAGAAGTTTTATTCTATCTGCTGTTTCGAGTTTTATTCTATCTGCTGTTTTGTGACAAGGGTCGATTCCTCCAACATGTTTTTTCCCCTCTTTTATCGAGTAATTCGTTTCAGAGAAATGAGAGAATGTTTAGAGGGTTTGAGAGGTATTGGGAAGAGGCAAGGGCTCTTGCCAAGTTTAATGCCTCTCTGTAAAGGACTTAAGGACTTTTTGTAATTATCCACTTGATCTTTATTCTTTTGAATTGGAGTCTCTTTTCATCTTGTTAGGTCCTTAGCCGTTGTTTTAAGTCCCTCTCAGAGCTATGGTTTTTTTTTTCTGTAAAAGCGTGGTTCCTCAATTTTTGAAAAATGTTGTACAATGGAAAATTAGAAGATTCCACTTTCAAGCAATCAAATATCATTTTTTTTTATAGGAAACGTCAGATCTATATTGAGAAAAAGAGAAGGTACAGTCTAGAGACCGGGGGATGAGAAAACCCCCGCCTAACAAAAAAAATAGTGAAGGACGGCAGACGGCTTTCCAATCACGTATTAGCATCGTAAGACTGCAATTACAAAAAAAGGTCAAATGATTTTCAGACTTATTATTATCATAATTTTGCTAAAGAGAGGCTAGTACGTAAAAAAACCTCCTTGACGGCCACTCTGCTTCCAGAGACCACTAGAAGTAATACGACTCAATCAACTCTTAATGATAATTTGTAACTATTAGAAAGCTTCCAACTACTAAAAAAATAAAAATCGAACTTACGTTTGCCAGTCAATTGGATCAAGCCTTTTTGAAAGACGATCTGTTAATGCATTCACACGCTCTTTAATGACTGATTTTTCCTCACTTACATCCTGCTTCCTTCTGAAGGTAAACTTTGCCCTTGGGTTTTTGGACAACTCTTCACTCATATTAGAATGAGTCCCACATAAAATATCAGCAGTAAACCTTATATCTAACAGAACCTGCAATATGCCTTTTTCTGACACTTGAGGCCCGCTATCTTCTATAGATGAAATAAAGTCCCCATAGATACCTATAACCTGCAAGGAGCCATACCATATAAGCTGAAACGATAAAATTGCCACTTACTATTGGACCACATAACACAGAATTTATGAGTCATGTATGCCAAACACACAAATAGAAGTTCCATTAAGAAGTATAGCAAAGGACAAAGCTATAATATTTCAAGACAAATGGCCTGGAAAAAAGTCTTCGCATAGGTATATAGAATATCAGTAAGTTAAAGTGTCTATACTTGCTTGTTCTGATTTTTCTTTCCCCAATATCCAACCATTTATTCGTTCTCTCCAGCAAGTGATAGCAACCAATGTCATCTAGGAACAGATACATGGATAACAGTGTTCTCACTGATATTCTAGTACCAAATTGTACAATGATAAACTTGTATATCCAGCAATTGACGTGTCTCAGCTAGAACCTCACTAGGTGCGTCATTGCCCCAAGCGCAAAGATTGATAAACTTGTATATCATCGAATTGGAAATACAGCATATGTAATGCATGAGTTTCATGCACTTGAAACTAATAACGTGACAACCCAGTTCATGAATGCTTAGACTAATTAAGATCTTTTCTTTATAAGAGACTAATTGTGGTCTAAGATTATTGCAAGCATAGTCTTTCTTGGCTGGTCCCTAGAGGATGATTAAAACAATGGACTTTGTCCAGAAATCTCCGTCTTTGGTTTGGGACCTCACGGCACATTTTATGCAAAAAAATGTTGTAAGACATGGATCCGATTCAAGAAGATACCCTTTACTACGAAGGTTTTGGGAAGATTTCTCCAAACTTTTGGTGTCAGTTTAGCTCCAAGCGAAGTTGTTAAAACATAATGGACCAGGTGCTCATTAACCCCCTTCGAAAGCAGTACACTTTTCTGGCAGGTAGCATTATTTGCTATCATTTGGAACATCTAGTTACAAAGAAATAGGATAATCTTCAAGGGTGTAGAAGGGTCTTGAGAGGAGGTATGCAACCCGCTCACTTTTACGTCTCCCTTTGGGTTATTCTCTATAAAGCTTCTCTATAATTTTTTCCATTGATTTAATTCTTAATAACTAGAATCCATTGTTTGGGGGCTTTTCTTTAACACCTTTTTTGTACTTCCAATTTATCTCAATGAAGATTTGTGAATATATATCCAAAGTTTTTACAAACAACAGAATTTTAACGTCCTGGAAAACTAAATACCTTTTCCAGCAGAGTCGTTGCAAATTTTCGGATTATTGTCTTCTCGAGAACATGACCTCCAATTCTATGAATTTCTTCACATGCACGGAACAGAAATGAAATTGTATAAAGAGAAGGCATTGAAGGAAGAGCAATTTTCATATCTGATTGACCTTCAGCAGATTGTTCTTGCTTGATGACTGTCTCTTCCCAGCCCTGCCAATCACCAAAAATTATTACCATTTGCGTAAACTATAAACAACAAAATCAGCAGAAAATACAACTAAAGGAAAACAAAAAACACTTCAATATTTTGTTAAGAAAACCAGTAAAGGAAAACAAAAAAATGCTTCAATATTTCGTTAAGAAAACCAGTACAGTAAACTGGTAGGAAAAATCTAGGCTATGCAACAGAATACTACACTAAACTAGAAAATTATATAAGTTCAACAACAATTTCAAGTTATGTCGTGTCCCCTTACCAATTTAAAAAGGCCCTTTTTCTGAAAATTATGATGTATGCTCCACACATTTTCAATAAAAATGTGTGGTTTCTTCTTATTATTAAAAATAAATCATATGCAAGAGAGGAACAGATGAAGTGGTGGTTTAGATCTTCCCGCTCCTTTTGCAATTGAAGTGAAGTTGAGGAGAGGGGGGATGTGAAGTTTTTGTCCCCAGATCTTGACTTCGGTGTTGATATCCATAAAACCAATGGACCACAAAGAGAAACTTGTAATAATTTAGGAATAAAATCAAGCACTTGAAACCACCGCTCTTTCTTCTCCCTTTAGCTTCATTTTTTGCTAGATGAGAAATATAAACTTCCAAGTACTGATCTTTACTCCTAATTCAATTAAATGAATTACTTCCTACGTCTTACCCCCACTAATTTTTGACTTTAACCTCAATGTGATTTCATTTCATGGCCAAGATTCCCTCAACCTTTTTCATTCATCGAAAATGAAATTGGATATAGGTGATTCCCAGTATAATATTTAGTATTTAAATTCTCGTGAAAGATTATATAATCCAAGTAGGTGGAAAAAATTTGTCCCGAAACACTAGTGTCTTCATTGCATCAAAATCCTAGCACCATCCCAGGTCTCTTACCAACAACAATCAGGCCCCTCAAAAAGTAATTAAGCTAGCCACACAACAAAAAATCAAAACTAATAAAGATGAATAACAATAYGTTTTCAACATGAAATGCGGAAAATACTTTACCGTTCACAACTTTTTATCAATGATTCAATAGCAAAGTTAAAAATGCTAAATCATATTGATGGGTTTTACTACAAGTTTTATAGCTTCGAGGAAAACAATCATAGCAGTGCAGGTCCCAAAGCTGGGAGGACTCCTAAAAAGAAATTACAAAATTGAAATAATAAAATAAAATAAACCAAATACCACTTACCCTCAAGGGCGTTGCTGACAGTAGGGCATCATCTTGGGTAAGATCTCTAGAGAGAATAGAAGAAAGCTCATTACATAACCATAACATCCACAAGCTATGAGACCTTACAGAAAGATCTTGAGTAACTCTATTTAACTCTTCAAGTTTTGGGCTTTCACTTTCTTTAGTTCCAAGCAATGCAGCTGTAGCAAGTGACATTTGTCTTCTAGAGTCGGTGGACATTTGTCTTCCTGGAGAATTAACATATAAAGGAGAATCGGGAACACCTTTGGATTGTCTCAGTAATGAAGAATGCTTATCAAAAACAGAGGACGATGTGTCATTTACCCAAAATTTTGGTGAACCAAGGATGACACTAATGTGCCTCAAGTGATTTTGAAATGCAAACAGGAGTCGACCAATGAAAAGCGATCTCTCAACAAGTGGAGCAATACTAACAGGCTGACTGGCAGTCCTACTATTTTCCATGTTACTATATAGATTATCAATCTCTCTTTCTAGTTCCATCAATATGGTTAACATGCTTTCGTAACACATATTCTGTAGATAAGGTGCCAGATCTTTTAACCTTATTGATGCCTTAGGAGATTCTATGAAACTTAGAAGATCCTCAAGCACACTCTGACAACAGTTTTCAAATGCATCTCTGATACGGCTGACTTCTGGACCAAAATAAGCATTGATACAACTACTAAAATCACTCTCTTCTACAGATGCTTTTGCTCCCACAGTTGGACCGGCTTTCTTAGCATTAAATTCTATAAACCAAACCCCACCACCTGTAGAGGGTCTGTTCAAGTACCCCTGGAAATCCAAGATATTATTACCTAAAGCATCCTCAGATGCATGAACCGATTCTGCAATATTAACTCCTTTAACCATTTCCTTGAATCTTGAGTCAATTATAGTTTTCATCCTGCGCGCAAATGCATCTTCAAATATGTCATCCCAGAGGTCTGAGTCATCTTCCAATACAAGTTCCCTCATTCTACTCCAAGGCAACTCGATTTCAGATCCAAAAACACTTTTCAACCAATCCAAACTTCCTTCCAAGACTTCCTTACTTTCCATTGTCTCTCTTATTAATTTCTCAGCAGAAGCAAGGTCTTGGCCACTTCCAATGGCATCAATCAAAAACCTTCCATTTATCTGGCTAACAATCTCTCTTCCACATTCTCTTAGCCAACTCGAGCAAGTCCTAGCAATGTAATCTTTCTCAAGCATTACCATGACTGACTCTAACGTATCCCTAAATGACTTCCAGAGCCTAACTTCCTCATCTGGGTTGGGAATTCCACCAAACAATTGAGATGCAGGAGGTGAACTCAATATAACTTTGTAAAACAGTGGCATATCATTCAGAACTTGCAAAAACAACTCACCAACCTGTCCTATACTGACCTGAATTATAGCCAACACCTCGCAGAACACGGATATTACAATAGAACAAGCTGCATTGCTCCCGCATGTTCCTAATTTTTGAGAAATCCAGGACTTCCTCGAATCGAGGAACAAACTGAGAACTTGCTTCGGCTCAAGCTCATCAATAACGGCAACAGCAGCCAAGGCATCCGCATAAGCCCCAACCCCAATTCCACGATCGAGTAGTCTCTCACGGCTACGCTGAGAAATCTGAGATTTGAAGCTCTCCACTATCTGCCAATGGTGCTGAAGCAGAGGAAAATTGGAGAGAAACTTACGGTCTGAATCGGCATTGTGAGTCGTCAAAGCTTGCTGCACATGCTTCGCTCGAAGGTGACGAACAGCAGCTTCGAGAAACATCGACTCGTCGAGGCAACCCCAAATATTCTCAGGGGTATCAACGAGGTACTTGACCCGGCAAGCGATGGCGTAGAGGGTGACGCGAACATGATTATGGGAAGGAAGATGCGTGAGCGAATCGGAAGACGAAAGGGAACGGATGGAAAGGTGAATGGAAGAGAGATTAGAGGAAATTGAATGGGAAGTCGACTTCATGAGAACAATGGAGTCGGCGGAGTCGATCAGATCTCGGTAGCGGTTACCGACGAGTTGCCGGAGCTCCTCTTGCTTGGACTGGATCTGGGCGCGGGTGGAGGACTCCACCTTCCGAATTTCAGAAATGGGCTTTGTCCGGAACAGAGATTCGGCATCGCGGTAACCTCCGCCTCCGTCTGTTGAGGAAGCTGAAGGTACTCCCATGGCTGCCCTCGCTTCTGGTGCTCAGAATTGGTATGAATCTGATCTTACGAAGATGGCAATGTCATGAATCAATCGCAAGGAAAGCAAATGGAAATCGATTAGAGCAACAATTTGTTGATTTTGGTTCAGATTTGGGATTAAGAGGGTCGGTTTACTGCTCTTGCTGATCAAGATCAATGGCGGGTTCTGAATTCGGGTCAAATATGATGATAATCGAGAAACAGAGATAATTGATAATTTTTCAAGAGGACAATATCCATGTCGAAAATAAAATTATTAAGTTGAAATTTTTTTTTCTCGGGGAAATTGAAAATAGTTACAATTATTTTGCTCTCATTTACTCGTACGAAACTTTCAATTTTGTATTTAACACGTCTGTAAACTATTATAATTTTTTGAAAAAAATTTGGAGATATTTTAAATACATAACGAAAAGCCAAGTATATATTAAATAAAAAAATTGAAATACTTATTATGTATTTATTAGACATAACTTAAAAAAATTAATTAAGTGACTAAAGTTGTAATTTAACTTAAATTTTTATCTTTTTATATGATAAACCAAAATTTTTATTACATTTTGGTTTGGATGGTAATAAGTACTTTTTTTTCTAATACGCATGTGGAATGGAAATTCAAATTCATGACTTTTTTGTCATATCTTAATCAGTTGAACTATAATTAGGTTTGTGCAATAAGTACTTGTTTGATTGAACTCACGAGCAATTAGCAATAATTTTAATACAACATGTAAGATAAAAGGAGTATACTAATTATAATTTGAAGTTTATTACTAAATTTTATCAATTCATTGAACCTACACCTTTATTTTATCSGATTCATCTGTTCGATGTCTCAAATCGTACTAAAAATTATTTTTACTTCATCTAACATGTTATGTCATATCACACATTTAAGTAACGATATTAATATTGCGGATTTACTAAATTTAAAAATCAAAAGTTCAGAAAATGTAATTTGAACTTTTTGAGGTCATWAAAAAAATAAACACATGGACTAACTTGGTAATTTAATAAAAAAAAATGTGAAAATTTTCATTTCAGATATGTCAGTCAAATTCAGGAAAATTACCAAAATTTATGAAGAAAATTGTTTACGAAGCAGGTTATAATTTATCRATTTGAATATAACATTATGCATTTAGCGCTGATTAAATGTATTTTTAAATGTTCTTTTTAAAAATTATTATGTAAACTAATATCTTAAAACTGTTTTTATGTTTAAATTTGTTTGAAAAAAAATTTTATTTGATTGTATGCTACTTTATTCATCCAACACCTTAAGTTAAAAAGGGTAATTACGTATAAAACTGATATAGTCTAAAATAACAATAAATCTAATTGATTTTTWAAAAAAAAAAGAAATTTAAATATAATTGATTTTTCAAAACCATAATTTAAGTAATACCTTAAAAATCAATTGAAAATAATTTTAAGGTGTGTTTTGGAGTGTGGGTGTGTTTGAGAATGATTTTAACATGGAAAAATCACTTTTGTCACCGTCAAAATCACTTTTATTTTCATTGATCATATTTGACAAATTAAAAAATTGATTTTAGAAAAACATAAAATCAACTTTGAGTGGTGATTTTGAAAAATCAATTATTCTTAAATATCCTTTTTCAAAATTACTCATTGAGCATAGTCAAAATCACGTTTGGCATTGTCAAAATTCACTTTCCTAAAAATCAATTTAATTTAAAGAAAAAACTTCGCTTTAAATTGATTTCCAGCTTGAAAATTAATTATAGAAAATCAATTATAAAATTTATTTCTTCAAAATCATTAATTTTACCATGACTTCTACACACATCATCAGACTTTTTTTAATTTAACAAACAGAGAAAGAAAAGTGATATTTGACGATTACAAAAGTAATTATGACCCCTGACAAACATATTCACACACAAACTTAATTGGAAAATGAAAAATATTCTCCATTTTAATTTGAAGAAAGAGAGAGAGATGAACTAAAGATACTGTATAATATTTTCCAAGGAGAAAAATTAGCAGAGTTACAGGATGACATCTAGCTTGTCTCAAGGAACTCTCCAAAATGTTTTTACACAAATTTCTGCGCTATTCCTTTTTTGAGTATGTAGTACCAGTGGCAAATTTCTGCGTATGAACCTGGAATTCTCTCTTCTCTCTCTTGCCATCATGTATGTACACAACAGTTTGTGTTAGATATCTCTCTGTGTACTCTGCTTCCTTCAAGACGTCTCGTATAGAACCCGACGCTCTATGAGGTCCGACAATACACTCCTCATTTTATCAATCGAGACGGGTTTTAGTATTAGCCCATCCATGCCGACTCTGAGGCAGCTCTCTTTTGTTACTTTGTCTGAGTTCCCTGTGAGTACTACCATGAACGGTCTTTCGTGACATTTTGCAAACCTTTCGCGGATTCGGATTGCTAGTTCGTAACCGTCGTCTCCAGGAGCACATATATCCATGAAAACCACCTTGTGTTCTTGCGAGACGACGTGTAGGAACTCATCGATTGAGCCTGCTGTCGTTACCTCGCATCCGAGATGTACAAGAAGTCCCTTGGTCACCGACCGGCTAACTCTGTACCAGGAAATGCAGCATGAATATTAGACTTGAAAGACAATTCCAACATGCTTGGTATGGCTTCCAAAATCAAGAGAGTATATATTGGACAAATATCATTTTATTCAAAAAACCGGATTTTATCAGGAAAAAAAAATGAAAGAGTAAAAAATGACATACCAAACAATCCAAACTAAGGAGCCATATAAAAACTAAACTAGCAATAAATAAAGAGCACCAATCTAAAGAACAAGCTCTAAAGATAGTTAGAAAATTTCCCTGCAATCTTTCTAAAGCGCTAACTAACGCCTTTACGCCATCTCATCTTGAGACCTCTAAACCTCAATAAAAAAATACTTGAGTCGGGTAGACTTGGAGATCAGTTCGATATTTGTTTCAAACAATGGATGCATCAAAAACGTCGAAAAGAAAGCAAAAAGCGTTCCAAAGATTTAACCAAACCAATCCTATCATACTAAGGGGGAATCAACTTCCGTCATGGAGAGCACATATTAGACAACGATTTGTAGATTGGCTCGGACTTCGGTATTTGTGTCGAACAATGATACATCAAAAACCTTGATAAGAATGCAAAAAAAGTGTTCCAAAAATTTAGCCAAACCACTCCTATCATATTGAGGGAATCAACTTTCATCAATTGAGTCAACAACCGTACCAACGGAAATAGTAAAAATCAACATCTCAACCATTGCAACATTATCCTGAGCGATCATGTAACTTTCATAAAGAAAGTAATGATATTATTTAGTTATTTACTATGATAAAATAAAGAGAAATATACAGCAGTACTGATGATTATTTTCTACCTTTATTCCAAAACCAACTAGAGATTACTATTCAATATACTTTACAACTGAGGAAAATCCTTCTTAATGAACTGGTAAAATACTCTGCTTCGACAGGACTTCCCGTCACCCTCAATTTCTGGGCCTTTAATATAGCAGTCAAGCTTTTATCTACTTAAGATATCAACAACAACCACAAAAAGGAAAAGGGATAGCAGGTCCCCTTGCGATCTTGGTTTCCAGATCCCATTGATAAGATATAGGACCAATAACATTCTCATTTCTTGTTTCTCATTTCCAATTTTATTAAGAAGCCTAAACATGTGACAACTGTTTAGTTTCTTGTTTCTATAAAAACATTCTCAAAATTGTATAGAAATTTTGAAAACAACAAAAATAAGTTCTTTATTTCTTGTTTCTGTTCCCGACTTGTTCTAAAACATAAATAAAAATATTGTTTTATCATTTTTCAATCCATAATTGTTGAGACCATGCAATTCTTTTTTTTAATTATTAAAATGAAGAAACAAAAACAAGAAATGGAAATGTTAACAAATAGTCCTTTTAAGGTATTTGGCCACAAACTGCTTCCTTTCTATAAGGGCTATGGAAAAGTTAAAAACAAACAAGATCATAAGTTTTATCTATGTTGATTTTCAGTGGCCACGCTTCAACTTTTCTGGCTTTTTAAGATCTGCAAATGTGTTTACCACTTTTCATTTACATATCTGCTAAGAGTTCGAGCCAACTTGCGCACCTCTTCACCATCTTTAAGGGACAACCATCATACCTTACAACCAACATTTAAGGTTCAAAGTAGGTGACCAGAATAGGGTTTGAACCCATTTTCTCCATTTTCTCCGAGTCCCTTTATTTTTTCATGGGCTCTAATAACCACTAGATCAACCCAAGGTGGTTAGAATAACACTATTCATTCTATCCTCAAAAACTTCATAGATACTGTTGTGAAGGCTTATTGGCCTAAATTAACTCATCTTTAAATAGAATTTACCGTCTCTTCGAAAATGAAAGAAAATGAAAAGCCGAGCTTTCATTGAGAAGTATGAAACAATACAAAAGGGCATACAAAATAACAGCCCAACAAAAGGAGCCAAAACTAAAAGAATGGCCTCCACCCCAATCTAGCAATATCAAACCTAAGGAATAATTACAAAAAAAATTTGGACACTATGAAACCAAGCAAGAGCTCACACCTTCTATCAAGATCTCTCAACCCCTCTAAATATCTTGTTGTTTCTCTCATTCCACAAACTCCAAAGAACATTTAAGAAACTTGTGTGCCACAAAAAGCGTCCCTTATCCCAAAACAGAGTGTAATGAAGAGTCACCTCCAACATCGAGCTACACTCTCTGGCACGAGCAAAGCAAACCCCAAAAGCCTAAAGCAAAAAATCCTAAACAAACGAAGCAAACTGGCAAGTCCAATGACTGCTCTCCTACAAGGAATATAGCGCTGAAGCCCACTTAGACAAGAAGAATGCATCATGATACGATCTAAAGTATTAACCCTGCCATGTAAGAGCTACCAAAGAAATATCTAATCTTCTTTGGAATCTTAGCCTTCCAAAGTGGGGAAAAAACAGGGCAGCAAGAGGGACAGCAGTCCACCAAATACAAAAAAAAACATGATAAATAATTACATTTAAAATGAATAATGAAGTAAGAACTTCAAATTTTGAAGAAAAAATAGGTAACTATGTTACTAACCCATTTTCGTCCATAACAAGGACTTTGAGTCCAGGAAAGCTTGTATGAATGTTGTTATCATGGATTTTTGATGTAAAGGGAAGCCTTGATTCATTTGATTGGTCAGCAATTCCAAGTTTTACA